AGAAAAAAAAAGGAAAGGAAAGAAAAAAGGAAAAAAAGAAATTTTTATTTATTAAATTATATTTTTGGTGTCAAGTCACAATATTTTGAAGTTCGAAGTAAATTTAGTTTAAAAATGAAAGTTAAGGGACTGAATCGAGGATTTAACCTTTTTTTTTTTAACTTTTAGTAAGCAGTGGGACCCACAAAAAAATTGGCAGCAAGTAGATTTCCCACTCGTGGGATTCCAAGTTGGCATGCCAGGTTGTCAAAAAATTCTGAGTTGGCGCTGATATGCGCATACTTGACGGAAGCCAACGGTGCACGTGCTACACGTGAGCTCCGGCGTTAAATTTTTCCTCATTTCCTCAAACTCGAAAACATTGAGGGTAAAAATCCATGTATTTTAATATGGAGGGCAAAAATCCTACAAGTCGAAAAGTTCAGGGGCAAATTGGTACCTTTTGCCCACTTTTATGTAGCTCAAACTGTTAACATATAAATAAATATTGTTCAAAACATTAATATCTACAACCAAATTATGTTTTCTCTACGCAGGCGGCCATAGTTAATTGTTCAACCTGATCGCCGTTAAAAGAAAAAAGGGTTCGAGCTGATCATAAAAGCATAATAAACTTACAGAGAAGATGAGAAGAGGTGAAAAGAATTGAGCCCTTAATTCCTTCTCAAGCTGAAGCTGTAGGTAAGAATTCTTGACCAAATCAGCTATCAAAGACACAGACAATAACCCTCTGCTTCTACCATATGTTACCTCTATCTCTATGATCTTTATAAAGACCTTTAAACAGGAGTACAGCTGAGAAGGTGAATGGCAATGGGGAGCCACGTGAAAATCTGTCGGCAGATTAATATAACCTTTTCCTCCTTGACATTTTGTTGCCACGTGGACGGCAAGGATATGGAGCGAAAAAAATTGGACGAAAGATAACGTAGCTACTGTTTATGACAGGACGTTTTCTGGCCAATTGAGGAACAGAAACTCCGGTTCACTGAAAAAGGCGGTCAAAAATTTAAATATATGGCGGTAGTGGAATCCAGTGGACCATTAACTCATAGGTAGTGTATAAAGATAATCTATATACCTATATGTAAAATGCTACTCTATCCATTAAGGTCCCGATGATTGGTATAGCGGTTTTAAGGTAGTGGTTAATAATTTTACCTAAATTGTTAAATATAAATATTTGGTAAATTTACATATTTCGAAACCGCTATAAATAAAGTGTTTGGTAAAATTTTTATTTAACGGTTTGAGACTAACGGATAGCGATTAGAATCCAAATTGTTAGCGGATTGAAAAAACTAGTTTATATAGCTTTTTGTACCAAACCGTTAACGGAGTAAAATTTTTTAATTTTATTTACAAATTTATCCATTTTAATTTTTTAATTTGTGGTCACATTTTTTAATTAATAATTATCTAATAAATTTCAATTTT